TTTTCAAAGCATACCTGTTCTGCTAGTGAAGCATTAGCAGCAGAATTGTGCTTTTGGCTTCTGTGAACTTTAAAGCTTGGGTCATGGAGGGGTAAGCAAGCAGAACATAGACTTGGTTGCCATCCACTGGGAGAGAGTGCACTGTGGGCTGTTCTGCAAGTCAGTATTGAGCAGTACATACCCTTGGGGATCGTGCTGTGCTTTTGGCATGGTAACATGGAGCCATCAGCCTCAGTCCAGGTGTTTTCTATAACAGTATTGTAATAGCAGCTGTTTGTCTATTCTATAGTCATCTCTTGTTTTTGTTGTTGTTGCAAGTTCAACAGCAGACATGGTTGTAGATGCTGAAAGCTGGAGGAAAAGGGTGGGCCTGGGGATTGGAAGTGGGAGGAGGGAGGTTCTTTCTGTCTGGGGGATGCTGGGCATGCTGCAAACCCAGAATATGGGACTTGTACATGGGACTCCACCAGTTAATCAGTCTGCAAAATGTGATTATACCTTGAATGTGTGCAGGGGCTTTGCCTGGAGGTTCGAGGCCTTATTCTGGAGCAGGAAGGCAGCGTGTGGCACAGAGGCTCCTAAGGAATGTCTTTATATGGACAAAACTGCGGTGCTGGCTGAAAAACCACTGGTGGATTTCTTCTGGAGGTGTTCAGGAGGAGCACAGGGCAGGGATCTGTGAATTCCTTCTTCTGAGGTGGAATCCTGACAGGAATAAGCCCAGTGGTTTTCTTCTGCTGCTTCATTGTCTGTGATATAGCACAGCTCAGTGAGAAGTCAGAGCACAGAACAGCAGTAAGTTGTGTAGTGAGGGGCCAAAATGACACCCTGGTGTTTGGGAATGACTGCTGGCAACCAGGAGGCATAGGCGTCATTTGACTGTGAAGGGCTGGAGTCTGGTTGCCAAAATGAGAATATAGATTTTGCCTGAAAGGCAAGTCTCTTGGCTCTGCCCTTTCATCTTCTTCTCTGTTTGTGCAAAACTCTTAAAGAGGAAAAAAAAACAGAACACCTTCCAATTTCCACTTTGAGCATTTTTAATAAAAAGAATCACAGAAACAAAGGGGACAGGCTTGGGTGTGATTTGTGAATACCAAGCTGTCCTCTTGTTGTGTCTTCTGTGGTGGCCTTGTGGCTGCCATGCTGTGTGGGCAGGCAGGAGACCCATCCCCATGTTCAAGCTTGACACGGGATATCCTGGCCCACCTCTACCCTTTCCAGGAGCTGGTCCTGTCCTGGTTCTGAGGCTTCTGAGCCCTTTATGCTGTGCCTTCTGTTACAGGTACCCTGAGCCAGAGTGTGGTGATGGATGCTCAGCATGGGAATGAGAGCTGGCTCACAGCACTGGCACATAACATATAGAGACTGTGTTTCAAAAAGCCTTGATAATTCCAGCAGATAGAACTGGGAGGTTGTTGTCCAGAATACTTTTTTACTGGGAAGGGAAAAGGTAGGACTTCACTGTAGATGACGGATAGCTGAAGCTTTTCATTGATTGCACTTTTCAGAATTTATAAATAGTGGCATGTGTATTTTGGTGTTCACTAATTGCGGGGAAAAAAAATGTTTCTGGACGTAGTGAAACATGATGGGGTATGTTAGAGACTCTTCCCCTACATCTTCATGACTTTCTAAAACTTGTGAAGGTTAAATGTCATCCAAATGATGCTCTCTTCCTTTCGGTCCTCTAGGGCATAAAGTGAATTAATGTGTAAGATTCTTCCTTCTGTGTGTTTGCAAAACCTGCTGTCAAAGAAGCTCCAATTTCTTTGCAGAATAAGATACTAAAAACGTCAGGAAATTCTTAAGGCAATGACAGCAGCTTTCTCCCTCACCCCTGTTTAATGACTCTTTTTACCCTTCAGTATGTCGTGAGCATCCTTGACTTGTGTCAGACTGGAGCTCAATGTGACAATACACCTGGCAGCTTTCATATTTGAAGGAAATCATCATTCGTATTTTCTTGTTGTTGCTTAACTATTTCCACACTAATGCTCCTAGAAACTGCAGAACAAAACTCAGCTCCACCTTCTCACCTCCTTTTCCTTTTGAGAGCCCCCAGCAGACTAGTTACAAACATAGTGTGACAGTGTGCTTTCTAGAAGGAAAGAGAGAATAATTCATCCCTAAAATAGCTGACCATGCAGTACTTATTAAATATTGATGTCATGCTGGACTCTTTCTATTCTTCTATTTTTAAACGAGGAGAAAGAGTGGAAAGTTTAAAAGAGGAGTAGGTGAGACACTTCAGTCCTTGCTTGAAAGACAGCTTAAGGCAGTTCGCAGTCTGGTAACAGGAATCCAGCATACCCTGCATGTCTGTGCAGAGAGAATTGGAGGACAGTGCCTGTTACTGCCTTCATACTGTCATTTCACTCATCAATGTACAGGTAATATCCTAAATCTCATGCAGTCTCTTAGCTGCTTCAATTCTAAAGCATGGAAGATGGTCTGAGAGTCAAATATTGCAAATCACAGGGAGGTGCCATTAAGTAGATGTCACTGTTTTGAGAGAGCTACAAAAGTAATATTTGTGCTAACATCACAACAGGGCTGATAGCTCCCCAAATGTTTCCTTCCTGGCTGCTGTTGTTTGTTTCTATTCCTTCTAGCAGAGATGCTGTGATTTGCGCAGGGGCCTGTTGCTTCTCTGAGGCTGGTTGAAGAGCAATCACAGGTCCATGTCCTATGGAAAGCCAGGAACATCTGATTTAAGCATGTATGGCTGTCGCTCCATCTCTGCAAACAAAGGAAGCAGAGACCATTGACACTGCTTAATTTGCACCTGGTACCTCAAGCTGCCAGTTGTTTATTTTACCAGTTGCAACAGAGAGTCTCTACTTTGTTGCCCATGGGTGTTTATTATGTACTAATTCAGTTCTGAAGAAGAGAGTAGATTGATCACCCTGGAGGTGCTCAAGGCCAGGTTGGATGGGGCCCTGGGCAGCCTGGTCTAGTATTAAATGTAGGAGGTTGGTGGCCCTGCATGTGGCAGGGGGTGGGAGATTTGTGATCCTTGAGGTCCCATTCAATCCAATTCTGTGATCACTGCCTGCATGTTATCTGCCTTCCAATTTACTGCTTTTAATGAAGTCCTAAATAAATAATTTTGTTTTGCATAGGTTTACAAGGCAGCTTGCTGCGCTGTTGGCTGTCCAAGGTTTTCTTTGAAATACTAAGATGCATGAGCAGGAAGCAGATTGTAAATCTAGTCCTGTCTTCATCCCTCTATCGTTGTTTTCAGACCTGGCAGTTTTCAAAGTAGGCAATATGGTGAAAGCAAGGGTGAAGAGGTGGAAGTGCCCTGCAGGATGTGGAGAGAAGGGAAGGACTGCTGGGATGGGGAAGTTCCCAGCTGGAAATCTAAACTGCTGATTTGCATTGCTTCAGGAATTTGTCAACATTATATCCCTCTGGATTCAAAGTCAGATGTCTCTTGTCGGAACTCATAGTTGCAGCTTCCTACTGATAACTGTTCATGTGAGGAAGAGTTCTCCCAGGCACTTTGCAGAGACACTGCAAAGCTCACCTTCCCTGTGAGAGCTGGTACTGAGCTCCAGACTCCTTCCATCTCCTGTCCTCTGCAGGGAGGGAACAAAGCCACTGTGGGCAGTGGTATGTAGCTACTGCACTTTGACAAAGGCTGCCAATGTTGCAAAATGCCCCTAACCAAGGCTGCAGGTGGCAAATACAGCCTTCTGCCTTGGCTGTCTGTTTGAGAGCTCAGTTACTCCCACCTTCAAGAGCTGTGTTTGGCATTTCAGACTTTTATCTCAGAACTGGCTGATGAACCTACATCAGTTTCAGTAAAAAAAAAAAAATAATAAATTTTCTCGTTTCAGACATAAAATGCTTTTTGAGTTGTTTGGTTTTTATTGAATTAAGCACTGTTTCTGTTGCAGTTATGCTAGGCTTGATCTAGGGCAAATTAAGTTTCATGTGCAGGGTGAAGAGGATTAATTGTAAGAACAGCCACATCAGCACAGATGGATGCATCCACTTGTTTCTCTCAGGAAGAAAACCCTTAGAATGAATGGGGAATAAACCAGCCCGTATGCCCGGTCTGTGGTGAGGATTGAGGTTCTCATGCTTACCCCAGAAAGTCTTTTTATGTAAAGTCATGAGCCTCAGACAGAAGGAAATGACAAGTTCCTTGTCTTTGCTGGCATGAGGATGTTAACATAATACGTGTTCTCTCTCTTACACTAAAGTCTGATCGCCTGATACAAAAGTCCACAACTGTGCCCATTAGATTGGGTTAGAATATTAGCCTAATGAGCACCAAGCATTGTTCTGTTTCCTTCCTGCCCTCTGGTGAAGGTGTTTGGATTTTTGCTGTTGTTAAAGCACAGTTTTACTTGAGTGTAATTTCTTGATTTCTTCAAGAAACTTTAAATCTTAAAATTATTTTTCATCTTGTTTATAGAAATATTCATTTCTTAAGTTGGCAGATAACACACGATTTCAAAGAGAATGTTTTTATCTCTCTTAAATGATCTCTTCTGTCTTGGTGCTTACTGGGATTTATAGTTCTTGAATTCCTCTTAGAACAAGGACAGGAAAAAACAAATCTCTTTAAAGTGGAACATGATTTGCCTTACTTTAGACTGGCTTTCACTTTTTTAAAAAATGCTTTTGAAGCTGTACAGCAGGATGAGATTTCTATTTTTGGTCTTTTGCATGTTTATTTCTCCCACATCTGAAGAAAATATAAAGTTGAATACTTTGAATCCTAGAGCATAGCCTGACTGACATCTGCTGCTGCTGATGAAGTATCTGCTGATAGGGAGATAACGTCACTTCCATTGCTGTGTGGCAGTAATTCCAATATATTTTTCAAGACCATCCTCTTCATCTGAATTCACTTTCTGACTGATGCTCAGCATCTGTGCATAGAGAAACCACAGGTTCATGGTGTAGAGTGCAGGAGAGTGCAGAAAATCCCTCCTTGATTCTGTCATAAACAAAAACTTGTAATATGTGATGTTTTTGCTTTGCAGCTTTCTTCGTTTCTTCATTGTGACCTGAGAGTGCCAGAGCCAAGGTACAAGGGACTTGGTACCAGTACAGACTTTCCACTGGTGAGCTGGGGAGAGTAAGTCTTCTGCTGCATCTTGTATTAATGAATTAAATAAGTGGTAATATGTCTGAGAATCTACTGGGGGTGGAGAGAGAGCTCCTTCTGTGCATTTCTTGTTCCATATCTCAGATGATGTAGCCTCAAACTTCTTCCAGCATAGACAGGAGATACCATAAGTACTGGATAGAAATATGAATATTTATCATGATGTTTGTTAGTAAGGATGTCCCAGATCCTCTAGTACAAGAGAAGTAATCAATTTCTTTTCTCTTGCATATTGTAGCTTTTTTTTAGCTCCTTGTGCAAAAAAGCACTATAACTTTGCCTTCTCATGTGAGAAAGGGTTTTATGCATCAGAGGTGTCTTATGGTAGTACCATTCCTCTGTGGTGCCAGTGTATCTGCTGATGTGGACACTCTTGGTCGATCTCGATGTTCTTTTTATAGCAGAGGTATGGTTTCCTGTGGTGTGTTTTGAATGCTTGCAATCTTTAGAAAGATTGTGAGTGCTTGCAGTTGGGCTAAGATGGAATCTGATTCAAAGATGGAATCTGAAAGCCCTGGTTTACGAGTTCCTGATTATGTGCTGTAGTTTCCCAATTAAGGTAACTCTAAATAGAATAGTGACATTTACTAACCAAAGACTTGAACGTGACACGTTGAGTAGCAGAACAGGACGAAGAGCTGGAGGGTACAAACAGGAAACCTGGCTTTGTCAGATGCGGTGTTTGTGGCAGAAGTCATAGTCACTTTTGTCCAATCCAAAAATTCAAGAACCTATGCCCATCATATGTGGGAATAATACTTGCTGTTGAATCAGGTAGCAAATGGCTTTACAGATGAGCATGAAGAGGTGCTTGATGAGCATGAAGCAGCTAAGCATGAAGTTGAATCCAGCCCTTACAGTTCTATGATTCTGTGAGAGGTTGTAAGTAGCAGTTTCCTGCTGGGGCACAGTGGTTGTGTATGACTCCTTTTTCCAGGCAGAGTTTTTCCAGAGGAAAAGCCTGGCTTAGGACTGGAAAAACCCAGGCATATGATTTTAATAATTTGGAGAGCAGTGTTTTGTTTAACTAGTTCATGCTTGATGTAACTGGTTGAGTTTTGAGTTAATTTGATTATTTTTTGAACTACTGGAAAACTATTAAAGGAGTAATGGCTAATTTGATCAATAAGTATTCTGGGAATTCCTCCTTAAAATGAATGCTTTTAGACTAAGGGAGGAAATAAGAGCTGTGCAGCAGAGTACCTACTTGTGATTTTATCTGACAATGTTACTGTGGTCAAATTCTGGTGAGGAGGTGCTTGAATTTGGAATGATTGACCTGTTTACCATTTCACATCAAGCTTTTTGTGTCACCTTGGAGCAGATGCGTGGTTTTGCAGTTGAAAGGAGCTCTTAAGTGTGTGTGCTTCCCCAGATTGCAAACTTTTGATTTTTGCTGAAAGTGCAGTGCTTAGACATTGCAGAATCTAGTAGCCCATAGATGCTACCAGAGCCTTGATGAAACTGCAGTGCAATGACCGCAGGAGTAGGACTGAGTGTGTGGCCCCAATGGGGGCACAGCCACCATAGACACTCATCTTGCTACATAGATCAACACCGTCAGGAACACCCAGTTCCTGGTGTAATTTGTGTAAATGCAAACAGCCTGTGCCTTCCCTCAGTCCTGTCTCTAGCTGACCAGGAGGAAAGTTTTTAGTGGGAATGCATACGTCCCTGGGGCCAGGGCTGGCCATGACCATTCCCAGGAATGTGGCCAGATCTCTGGCTGGAGAATTGTGCAGCTGTGCATGCTGTTAGTATTTACATATGCATCGAGTGTGCTATTTATGGTATTTGCAGGGTTCAATTGAGTTTCAAAGAAGAAATTAGAGGCAAAGGATGTAGGGGAAGGTCAAAAGCATTTGCTCCGTTGCAGGAAGGTGAAGCTTATGTATTTAATTCATCCAGAAGGCTGTACTGGAGTTCTGCTCTGTACTAACCCAAATGAGCAGCTAAGTCCAAACCTTGCTGCTTGCCTGCTTCACAGAATCACAGAACTGTAGGGGTTGGAAGGGACCTCCAGAGATCGAGTCCAACCCCCCTGCCAAAGCGGGTTCCCTACACCAGGCTTCTTCCCATCAAAGTGGGGAGAGAAGTGGAAAGGCAAAAGCAGGAAAACTCGTGGTCCATACATGAAGCAAAACTGTGTGTGCATGTTTCCTGTTTGTACAGAGTGACTCCATTAACTCTGCAAAGTGGTCTGGTGAGCTGCTCTTCTTGGCTCATCTACATGTCACATCCAGCCCATGGGGTTCTGGAACAGCCCTTGTAAGGGCTGGGTTAGTGCCTCTGATGGGGTTATTGCCATCACTTGCAACTGTACATCTGTTCTCCTTTCTACACAAAGATGAACTTGCTATCATGTAACCTAATGTGCACTAATGCTTATCTGCTTCACATGAGTGTTTCTCCCAGGCATTTTATCTTCTGACACAAAACCATAAAACCACAACATCTTGTCCTTGCTACATGCATGGAATATTTGTGATTAATGTGGCCTTGTAGTTACTTGAAAGCAGAGCATATGTTTAACATTTCTACAGCATATGCTTTAAGATTTGAAGTCCATGCCAAGAACAAACTCCAGGTGGACACAGCAATAGCTCAAGTTGTGCTTCAGATACATCAGCATCTGCTTCTGTGACCCAGTGGCATTTCTGCTGCTACTAAAGGAGTTCAGCTTGCACAGCTGTATTTCTGCTGAAGAGTTAATTTCTGTGAGATGCGGGCCTCTTTCCTAGGGGCTAAACTAGTCTCTTGTTTCAGAGACTCAGAAGAAAATCAGTGGTTGCTCCTACCTCAGATTGCATGACCTCTCATTTAGTTAAGCAGTTTCTTATTAAAAGCCTCATTTACAGAATCATAGAATCATAGGGGTTGAAAGGACCTCCAAAGATCTTCGAGACCAACCTCCCTGCCAAAGCAGGCTCCCTACACCAGGTTGCACAAGTAGGCGGTCCAGGCAGCTCTTGAATATCTCCAGAGAAGGAGAATTTAAAATTATTGAATACAAAGCTATAAGGTTGGTGGAATCTAACCTTCACTTCCAAATGTGGTCCAAAATACATATATTCTGTCATATTTCATAGGGAGGCCAGGAGCTCAGTTTCTTGTCCCATTTCAGTCGACTTCATTTTGGCCTGCTTCTGCACTTGCAGCAGAGGAGCTGAGATCTGACCACCTTACCTGTTGCACTTGTTGCTTGGCAGATGGGGTGCAAGCCCTTTCCTGTGGTTTTGCAGAGGATCTGGAAAAGCTGCTGCTGTTTCTTATCTTCACTTGAGACTGCAAAAATAGCTACTTGTTTGTGGAAAGCTTTATTTACAAAATAAAGTTTTGTAAATAATGAAGTAGAAAATGTTTTCTGTTGTCATAATAGCAGCACTGTACAGCGGCGTGTAAAGGGAGCTCTGGGGAAGGTCTTGCTTTGCAGCACGTAGGTGGGATGGACTTGCATTGGCACTGTCATCATGCTTCATTACCACCTTTTCCAACTGGTACTGGCAGCAGAAGATGTAACAGTGGTTAGTGCAGGAAATGGCTCAGCCATTTTTAGATACGTGAGTATGTCATACTTCCACAAAGAAATAAATTTCTTTCTACCATTATCAACTGACCTTGCAAACCGTGGATATAGCACTCATCTTTCCAAGGGCATCATGGAGAGACTGGACCAAATCTTAGCTGGTTGGTTGGTTTGAGCAGCTGGGTTTTCACCCACCCATCTCTCTTTTTAAACATTGTAAAATGGTTCCCTGAGGTTAACTATACTTTTTAAAAGTATATTAAAAAAAAAAAAAAAAAAGTTAAAGAAACAACCAAATAATAGCATACTTTTTTGTTATCACTTGTAACAAAATGGTGGGACTAAACAAGTACTTTGGCAAAAAATCCTGTATCATTTTCAGTGCAATTACTACTTGGTAAACTTTTTCAGAAGTTTTTTACAAAGCTCTAAGATTTTGTTGTAGAGCATAGTTGTAGTCTATAGGTATAATTTCTGTAGCTTCGTGGTAGGAAGATGTGTTTAAAAGAAAAAAAAAGAGTTGTATGGGAAATAGAATGGTGTGGGTTGAAAAGGACCACAATGATCATCCAATTTCAACCCCCTGCTGTGCACAGGGTTGCCAACCACCAGACCAGGCTGCCCAGAGCCACATCCAGCCTGGCCTTGAATGCCTCCAGGGATGGGGATCCACAGCCTCCTTGGGCAACTTGTTCCTGCGCGTCACCATTCTCTGTGTAAAAAACTTCCTCCTAATATCTAACCTAAACCTCCCCGTCTTAGTTTAAAACCATTCCCCCTTGTCCTATCATTATTCACCCATGTAAAAAGTATTTCCCCCTCCTGTTTATATGCTCCCTTCAAGTACTGGAAGGCCACAATAAGGTCTCCCATCTCACTGGAGCCTTCTCTTCTCCAAGCTAAGCAAGTCCAGTTCCCTCAACTTTTCTTTAGATGTACAGCTGTTAAGTCAGTAGAAGTGTATGAAAGCACGCTGTCTGATGACTCTACTACAGAACCAGACAAAATGGTAAACAAAGAAGTTTTATTATTATGTGATTGTCTATTTTGTGATGCTGCAGGGCTGTTGTCCATATGAGTTCCTTGTGACTTTTAATTTCTTTCATATCTCTGTGGGGGGGGAAGGGGGGAGGAAACAAAACACCACCAAAAAAGCCTAACCAAACAAAACCATCAGCACTTTTTTCCCCCAAATGAAAAAGCAGGGCTGAATCGTTTTCATTTCCAAAATGCAATCCAGTTGCTCATTCGTACATATAAGCTGTATTCCTTCCTTTTAAAAAAAAAAAAAAAAAAAAAAGTATTGCTAATAATGTTAGAGTGGTGTCTATTGTCTAGGTCATGGGATATTGAGGTTTCAGATGCTGCTTTGTTTGCTACACTTAGACAAAAAGCTTTTAAAATTAAAAATAATTCTGAATTATACTTCAGAAACAGTTTGGCTGCTTTCAGTTTCAGAGAAATAAAGTTGTGTGGAAGGCAGATCAAGTAATCTGTTTACAAAGTTTCTTCCAAATCCTTTCAGGTGAAAAGGTGAAAGTCATGGTATGGTCTGAAAGTTGATGCTCAGAACTTCAGTTACCTTGTTTTCACTTAGTATTTGTTCTCTGGATGTGCTTGTTATTCAGTAATCATGCAGTTTTATAACCCTGCCGGATTCTTGTCTTCAGGTTGTGGTTTAGATTCTCATTCACCTCTTGGGGAATTCCACAACTTGGGAACATTGGTCTCACAAAAATAAAATTAAATAATTTTAAAAATCACCCCATGGGATTAAAACTCTGGAAGGTATCTGTCATTTGAGTACTTAGCCCCATCGTATTATCCAGTTCAGAACTTTTTAGATGAAGATCCACGGGGTTACTGTAAGGTAATTTTACACCCTTTTGGAGGCTGTTCTTGGACTGTATTTCTCTGATGTTAGGTATGTTCTACTTTCCAACCTAAATTTAGTAATGACTGCTTTCCATGCTCTTTCTTCTTGTGCCAGCATTAAAGTTCTTGTTCCTTCTCTCAACCTTTGTTTTTCTGTAAGCCAAGCTCTTAATATCCTTGTACAAGATAGAAATCTGTTACCTTGATTATTTTCCAATTTCCTGTGTTTTCCATTAATCCCTCTGGTGTGTGAGGGTCCAGATGCTGCTGCGCTGCTTTGGATGAAGTCTGGGCATTACCTAGCACAATGGTGCCAGTTGTTTTCCTAGCTGTAACCAGAGAACTAATTTGCCTTCCTCATGGATGCATCCCACTGGAGGCTAAGCAGAGGGTCAGTGCCCTGCTGATGTACCTGGGTCTCTTTCTTCCATCGTTTCCAAACACTTGCATTGTAGCTCAGCACTGACAGCAGAATTTCTTAGTGATCCCCTGAATGACTGACATTGTGCTCAGTGTTATTTCACTTAATTACTTTCCTATTAGGCTTCAGCTTTCAGTTTTCCTTTTGGGGACTGCATCTTTTTCCTTGCAGAAGAGCTTCCACGTGTTATGTCAAGCAGATTTCAGTAATGCCTTTCATGACAAGGTCATTAATGACAACATTAATTGTAATTTTTTTCATCATCCAGTAATTTCTACTCTTTTGTATAATTTGTATTTCCCTTTTTCACCAGCAAAAGGTGATTAGAAGTTCTCCATTTGCTTGCACTGAGCCATTTGTTTGGACCTTTCTTTGTGTTCCCTCTTGTTTACTGTTAAGGCAAACGTTTTTTGCTTCCCTCTGTGCATCAAAGTTCTTCACAATGCCTTTGATAACTGTCCATTCCCTAAGATCTTTGAAAAATACCATGAGAGAACTTGCCTTGCCTTGTCTGGACTGTTGAAGTTTGTGTGTCTGAGATCAAAATCATGTGTGAAGAAGGCCTGTGCTAATATCTTCTTATAGTCCTCCATTGCCACAGGTAAAAGAGAGGAACAGTTGATGCTATGGTTCTTTTGCATTGCTTACTGGGGATATAATGCACTGATTTAAATAAAAATAGGAATTGGAACTCTGGTGACAGGAAGAATCAATAATGAGATTTGAACATAATTTTTGCATTAGTGTTTCACTTTGAAGGTAGGAAGAGTAAAGGCTTCTTGGGATAGTGCCAGAAGAAGTCAGAAGGTAGCTGTGTGAGTTGTGGTAGACCAGATGCTCTGGGGTAACCATTTAAAGAAACCCTGATGCTGGCTATGTGCTCCTATTGCACTGCAGCTCTCCTATCCTTGCACTCCAGAAAGCAGCTGAGCTCAGTTTCACCTTGTGCTCAGCTTGTCTTTGGAAGACCTTCCAGTGATCCTGTTTCGTTTTTTTTGTTTTCCCATTTGAACAGTTAATGAACTTTTTTAGATTAGCATATTCATCAGCTTGGAGAAAGTGTAGTGCATCTCATTAGTTAATTGAGAGCTGGCAAGCCTAGGAATGAAGACATTTTCAGGGGTTTCCAATCCTGCTTTGTCTCCACTTCTAAGTTTTGCATCCATTCTTAGAAGGACAGCAGCAATACTGTGTTTATTCCTACAGCATGCAGGAAAGATGGTGGGGAGCGATGAAATGCTGTAACAGAAACCCTGGTTGTGCTTGAAAATTTCTCACAGAAAACAAAAGCATACAGGCATCTGCAGCTTCAAAAGAAGTGAGCATCTCTGATCTTGGTGTGAATGAGATTTCAAAATGGCCATTACAACCCTGAATATTGCCCACTTGTTTCAGCCTTTGCTGGCAGAGGTGTGCTGGCTGATGCTAACTGCTGCTCTGCGTGAACGCATACTCTGCCAGCAGGGCCTGGCATGGGCTGTACAGCTTGCTGGGATCTCCAACTTTGCAGTGTACATGCACGAATGTACAAACATAACTGTACAAACACTGTATGTGTGCATGCAAACACGCCTTCATTAATCTCAAAATGAGCCGTTAGATGCATAGTGTGAAAATGTTGGGATTTATTCTTTTTTCAGTGCCTGAGCTCTTTGCTGTAGCTATCTGTGCAGGGCGTGTGTGGGTTTTGAAACAATGAAAGGCATTCTCCTCCCCGTTCCCAGCATAATTGTTTCTTGATATTCAAAGCCATACTTTTAAAGGCAAGATTGTGCTTTTGTCAGAATATCACCCCAAGAGTATGGGAATGTGATTTCTTGAGTAGCCATCCCTGGAGAAACTTCACACAGTGCTTCTTTCCTGCTGCGCAGCTGCTCATTACAGCTGCTGGATGATGGAGGGAGTCTCACTTGAGTGACTTCTGTCATTTCCAGTCTTTCGTCTTTTTTCTTATCCTTTTTCTTAGTCTTGTGACAGTTGGTCTGCTGGCAGTCTGTTGTATGAGCTTTGGGTAGCCAGTATGCATGTAATGTAGACCTGTATTTGAGTGCACACATTATGTTGCCTGTGGGGGTCCCGGAAAGGCCAAGGAATTCAGTCAGCAACCACTGCAAACCCTCATAACTAGCAGCGTATGCAGGCAAATATATACAAGTGAAAACTGATAAAGGTTTAACATACGTTAGAAGTGTGGATGTTAGATTGTTTATCCTACAGACTGTACTGAAGCAAACTTGACCTATCCATCCAGTATTTGAACATAACTCATAATATACTTTAAAATAAAAAAAAAAGGGAACACTTTTTTTTGTTGTTCCCCACTGGTGTTGGAAGAGCCAGAGTAAAGAGAACAGCAGTAATAAGAGCTGCAACAAACTCTGTAAAAATAAATAAATAAATAAATATGGTGGCTTAAGGTGGCAGCCTGAGATGAAAGTTGGGGCAGCCTGCTTTGTGATGTGTGCCCTTGGCTGCACAGGATGAATGGCTGGAAGTTTTGTCTCTCAGCTCTTAGGAAGACCTTGGCATTGAGTAGGTAGTAGATAGATAGTTGTAAAATTCATTTAACTGCAAAGATGTAAAAGTCATAAGGCATGAAAAAGAAGCCATGGGGTTTCTTCTCTTCAGACTAAAATATTTTATGCTTAGTATGTTATTGGCTTAGAAGCATTTTGATTGAGGTTTAGGGTTTGCACTATGTTACTCTGGGCTGACCCCAACACATGCCATGCATTTTTTGGTCACTTGGGGATTTCGTTACTGTGGGAAAACTGATGCACTAGTGTTGGACTACATTGCTGTAAAGACAAGAATGGTTTTCAGAAACAGATTCAAAGCAACTGACGTTGTGTGGCATGGATAAGTTTTGCTTCCGTAGTAAATTTAGAATGTTGACAAACTTGTTGCTTACTGATTGCTGCATGATAATTAAAATGACAGTGTTGTTAAATTTCACCTGCTGTCTGGCTGAGTTTATAGCTAAAAGCAAATTCTGTCTTGCAGTGTTTTGTTCAGATGGCACTGTGGGCCGTATTAAGTTGCTGTATGACCTGAGACTTCTCTGTGCCTTCAAATTTATATAAGCTTATTAATGGAGGCCACGCACTAATAATAAATTTATGCTGTATGTATAGCACAACAGTTCATCTACTCTGACAGCATGGCCATGAATAATTTATGAATGTAGTTAGCCTGAAATTTGTGAGGGTCATTAGCATTTTAATGAAAAAGATACAGCTGTTGTACTAAATCTGTGCTTTCCTCCTCCCCCAGCTGAGCGTTTCGATCTGCGCTGGGAGCAGCTGACAGCGCGGGGATGTGCTGACGGCATTATGGGCAGGCGCTACCCAGGGGCTCACTATCGGCCAAGCAACTCGTGTATGTATGCAATTGCTCTCATTTATTGGTCACTTGATTGCTTTTGAAGGCTACGTTCATAAATTTTGAAGAAGTATTTATCAAAGGATGCTGACATATTGTAATCGATGCCAGCTCACCTGTGTGTATACCCAAATGGTAAGTATACTGATTAATGTTCAAATTGCAGAGGTGTCTTTGAGAACTTTAAAAAACTAACCAGCTTGACTTGACTGAGCCTGTTGCATTGTGCTGTGTTTTGTGATCAAGGTCTCTAATTTCATTTATGGTAGCATTCAGAAACTTAGCTGCTGTTTCTTCTTGCTCCCAACCCAAGTGTTCAGTACCAGATACCTTCAGATGGGCAAACAGCTTGAGCCATCACTGTGCACAATTGCTTTAACTGCTTACAACTTCGACTAGCAGCTCCCGTTCAGATTATTTATGTATGTGAGGTCAATCTTATTCACACTGAATTTCCTCTGGATCATGTTTACGTTGGGTATTAATGTTCAGATACTGTAAACGCTAACACTGGGAGAATAAATGGCTGTTACAGTTTTGAGACATCTCTGGTGGTCACCTGCAGATCTGTTACTGATCTGATAACATCTGCTTGATGTTATCTCTAGGTGCTAGCCTTTTAAGCCTGGCCTTCCAAGCATCCTGCAAGGCATGAAATCTACATCTCAGCCTAAGCTGAAGTTCAGCTTTGAAATGGTTCTTTGTAGCAACAGGTAGTAGGGTCTTTCCTATTTCTACCTTCAATAAATGGCATTTAATTATTGCCAGAAGAGCCTACAATATGTTTCTTGTTGTCTATTTTACCACCTGCAGGCAGTGAAGAACTGGCAAAGTTCAGAAATTTGCATCAGGAACGACTGATGTCAGAACTCCTTGTTTGAGGGCAAGGATACAATAATATCTATTTCATTATAGCTTTATTCTTTTGTTTATCCAGGTTTTCCCTTCTCTTAACCTGTCACTGTTATTAAGTCTCACTTGTTTTCTTTTTTTGTTTTGCTGCTATACGAGTTGTGCGACTTCCTGGTGCCTAGCATAGTAAATGCTTTGGGCATCCAGCAGTAAGAGCATTGAAACTGACCAGTCTTTGGAGAATTAGATTTATGGTAGCAGGTTAGATCCTGGGGAAAGTACTAGTAAAATGTATCATTTTGCTTTTGCTTTCTTTGCATAAATAATGAGTAATGGCAGCATCTCAGTTATTGTACTTCAGGAATCACAGTTTTTTCCATTAAAGGAAGAACATTACTCTCGTTTTCTGATGTTTATTATGTAGTGTTAAGGAATTGGGGCAGTTTTAAACCTTAATAAATGACTTTCTATTTTGTCTATACATATGTGCATAGGCATACTGCTACCATTCTGTAAATAAATAGGGAAGAATTAGGCCCGTGTGGACTAGGGCACTCGTGGCCATTTATGACATTGACTGTTTTGTTAAATGATTTCATAACTGTAATGAATATAGAGCATTGCATACTCTTAGAAGAGTAACAGAAGGTTTTATATGCAAAGAAATATAACAATTTAAATAGAAAACAGCTTATTTGAAGCCTAGTGCTAGAAAACATAGTTGAAATGCAGATGCTGAAGGTACAGAAGAAGCAAAATGTTTAAAATGTAGAACTGAAAGTAGTGAATTTAACAGGTACCTGCTAATTTTGGGTTTTTAAATGTCTAGTTAAAGAGCAAAATGATGTTGCCTGATTACTGGCTGTGAAGAAAACAGTCTTGGGTGTATCCCTGGCTGTCCTTAACACTGCTTGTCTTGACTTCATGCTCAACAGGGAGCCTCCCTCCTTGCTGTTCTGTACTTGTTTTTCTTATGAAAATTATGGACGTAAGACTGGAAAGTCTCCAGCATGGAGAAGCCTGGCTTTGTAAAAAAAAAAAATAAAAATAAAAATAAATAATAAAAAAAAAAGTTCCCCTTCATGAATTTTCCTGAGCTTCGTTCATATTTTTCTCTCTTCTAATATTTACTCATAAAACGACTTTTCTGCATCGGTTGCAGTAACTCTCCTGAAAAGACAGGAATTGTGTTATGTAGCTTCAAATTTACTTTCATACTATGGCTAAAATCTTGGTTCTGTGCACTCTGTTAAAGTCTTCTGTGTAACTGGAAGAACTTTCTAATGGGATGTCTGCATATTCTGCCCCCAGCACAATTACTTAGCTTTACTTGCTTGTAGTATTTTATATGATACTGGAATCAAAGCAAATAATTTCGTTGGAATTGGTTGCAGTTCCACTTTGCTGTCCTGCATGCCCTCAAAGGCATGGGCACAGTATAAAACATAATTAAATGCACAGCAGTTATATTTTCTTAGAGTGATATGAAAATGCAAATTATAAAAAAAAAAAAGCCCTCCGTTTTTGTTTTCTCAGAGGACAAGTGAGGAAAGGCAGGAATTTCTGGGCGGTAGTTTTGGTAGTCATTGACCTCTGGAACGTGCTGGGTGGAGGCACAGTCCCATAGTGGCAAGGACCTGCTCACTTCTGCAGCTCTGTCTTCAGCCTTTGCTTCTGCAGAAGAGAGCACCATGTCTGCCTTGCACAAGTCACCATGGAGGGCAGAGGTGGAATTTTTTTCCAAATTATTAGGCATATTTTATTTAAAAACTGCTCAGACTAGTGTCCATGTAAAGTGATTTATTGATAACATTCTGCCAATACAATTAGTGGAGTTGAAAGAGGTTGTATTTCAGAAACTTCTGATGGAAAACCTTTTGGGGGAAATAACTTTTTAATGAAATATTCATAAATCAAGGATGAGAATGAAAGGAAGCATCCCCTGTGGGATGGCACTCCCTGGACTGTGCAGGAGAGATGTTTGGGTATTGGTTCTCCTTGACTGTCTCCCATGCTAGAGCTCTTACAAACAATTCAAAATACTTCAGGGCAGAGAGAGCAGGACTGATTTCATAAACCTCGGATTTGGTTTTCCTCCAGGAATACTCAAAATCCTGTTCTTTCTATTTCTCTTCAACTTTGCCAGGGAGTGCCCAGCTGCAGCCTGCTTTGCACTGAGGTGATCTCCCACTGCTAGTCTTCCAAAGGAATATTGGTGAATGAAAATACTGAAAAGCTTTAGCTTTGTTGCAGTAAAGTAAGGAAACAGATGTTGTGATGACAACATAAATAGCAATAAAACTCTGGATAAAACCTCAAGCTTACGGTCTTACAGCCAGTCTCAGCAATTACATCGCTATAGTGATGTACACAAGCTGGGGTGAGAGCTTCCCTGGAGTGGCTTTGCACATTTGGTGTGGAACCCCTACTGAAGCAATAGAAAACCACCCAAGGAAGGTAGCCTGACTGTAGTAGTGTACAGTTTCTGGTAGAGGTGTCCTGCTACCACTGTCAGCAAAGACCTGCCGTGTATGTCTTGGTATTTCCAGGCCTTGGTCTAAAAAGCACTTGAGTGAGTGTCACCTGAGCTCATGCTCAGGAAGGACAGTTTTCATAAGTTGTTGAAAAGCTGCAAAGAATCATTGCTGAGATGTGGAAAAGCCAGAAATACAGACAATTAAAGGTGTAAAATTTACAAAAGCACTCAATGGCATATACATTGCTCTCCCAGTTAATGCCTCTCTCATTTGACTTTCTACCATTCGTAAGAATCTGTCTGGAGACTTGCATGACAATTTCTTTGCCTCTTGAGAAGTCCTAACAAAACCTGAAGGTGTTCTGGATCCCACAGATAGGAAGTTAGGTCTGCAGCACTGACCTCCTTTGACTTGGAGTCTACAGAGAGAGAGGTTCTTTTATGAACCACATAGTGCCCTGGATGCATAGTGTCACTTCTATTTTTTTTGTTTCTTAGCGTGGTTTTAAATACTGTACTAAGTCACTGCAGTACACCTCTGGCAGTTCCATTTCTTTTTGACAACAGAACTGTTCTAAAGCTGAAGGTTTTCTGTAGGACCACACATTATGGAGTTGTATGCTGTGTGCTTGTCCCATCACGAGAACTTCAGTTCCCTTAGTGTAAAAGCACCCTGTGACGTTCAATGAGTGTGTGGGTAGTGACAGCACAAAAGAAAGGAGTATTCTGGTTAGGACATTAATACCTTAAGACTCATTGAAATCCATTGAAATGCTACTAGCTTGTTCTTTTTCCACTCATTTGAAGGCTTTTACAGCTAAGTTTGTTGAAACTGAGCACACTTTTAGCCATGCTTTAGAGGAATATAAATGTCAGTCAGAGCCGTTGCTTTTTTATGTTCTCCTTCCACTTTATTATGGATTGATCCATTTAGTTTATGGGGATCATAAAGCAAGTACATTTTGATTTTATTTATGAGCACGTGTTTTGTTTTATATATGAGCTCTGTGGGTAGAAGTTTCTCATTGCAGTACAACAACATTCTCAAGGAACTCTGCTTGCTTCAATAGCCTGAGATTAAAGTTATTCCTATATTCTAGTGCCATAATAACGTTTAGGAGAGTTACTACAGGGTATGGCCCCCTAAACAATCTCTCAGATGTCTGACAGCTTTAGAAGAACTGCAGCAATTGGTTCATAAACTGTTTTCCTATTTGTCCCATTAAGGTTTTGTTGAAGACGATGCGTAGCCTTATTGGCAAATGTTGAGCCTGGCTGAAATCGTTCTTTGTATGATAAACTTTACTGTAGCTTGGCTACAAGCTACAAAGAACAAATTATGAACTAGAAATGTGGGTATGTTTTCAGGTTTGGTGAAACCTCTGCTCTGAAATGCATTCCGTTACTAAGAGCAAGGGAAATGTGGCAAGGACGTATGAGCCCAACTTGAAGATGGTTTCAGCAAATCTATTTAACAATGATGCAAAAATATATGATGCAATAGCCTTGCTTAGGTGAGATACAGAATGTTTTTAATACATGGAGCAGAATTCCATAAATCTGTAATTCTTTCTTCCTGATAGTCATATCATCATATTTTATGGAACCTGGCGATCAGTGCTCTTTTCTGTTAGTAAGACTTGGACTTTAATTTTGCTCACTTGTCTCAACTTACTGTTAGTGATTTGAAGTTATTTGCAAACACTATGATTGAAATGAGGCGTTCTGATTCGTCATATTTAGACTTTTGATATATCTATATTTTTATTCTTGTCTCTTTTCGTATAGAGTTGCAGTCTTCTGAAAATTGGCCCATTAATTTAGTTTTCTGATTTGCATTTTTAGAGATCAACTTAACAGTAAGTACAATCTTGTGGTAATAAGAAAAAAAAATTCAAATGTATTTTGGGATCTCAGCTTTGAGAATAGTGGTAATTGCTGGTTCAAAGCTATTACTGCCAGTCTGGGTAGTTTGAGGGTAAAAAATGTTTCTGGTTAACTTTGATAAGAGCATAATGTATAACTAGCCATAAACTTATTATCTGTAATTCAGGGGCCAGCTGAAGTTGTTGCAGGTGAAATCCTGAACACAGGCCATCAGGAATTTAATTAGCAATATGCATTAATTTAAAAAGGGAACCTGAAGTGTTTGCATTCATATGCATGCGATTAGAAGCTGATGGTGCTCACGTGTATGCAGTGCTGTTTGTGGGCTTCGTGGGAACTACAGAGTGTTTGCAGGCTGCAACAGCGGGGCCACAAACAAGATGTGTGGGAGGTGGTTAAGGATGAGCATTCTTAAATTTTTTTTTAAATTTTGTTCAGCACAACTTAGCTCATCCATCTGATCTGGCAGCATGTCAGTTTGTGGGTTTTTTTTCCCTTTCTTGCTTTTGTTAATAATGCTGTGATCTATGCTCAGTCACATCTCTACTTTCCCTGCCTGCCCCTCCTGACCAAAGGGCTTGGTGTTGGACTTGTGCCATTGAGAACAGTTGGAACACTGGTAGTGGGTGTTGCCAGTTCTTCAGCCCAGTTTGGGAATCAATAATCTCTTTAATAGTTTTACTTCCTGATTTAGGAGTAGTCAAATGATCCAAGTTACACTGATGTGGAGGCTGAAAATTCCTTGCTCTAATTTGATCTGAATCACCGTAAGTCAGTTTATGTGCTCAGCTCGTGACCACCGATTCTTTTCCACTGTTTCATGAAGCACCTGTGTACTCTGTATTCTACAGAGCATGTTGGTTGCTTTGTTTCCCCAGAGGCAGATTTATTGTAGCTTTCTTTTTTGTATGTTATCATGCTTCGGTTTTGGTAATTCCAGTCAGATTTAACTGCATGTTGTTTAGCTTAACAGTCAGTGAATGCTATTTTTGTGTGGCACTCAGTACTGAAGTGTCAGAATGCAGAAGATTAGGTCTATCTTGGTTTATTGATCTCAGCTTCTGAAACCTAAGTTACAATTTCTGAGTTTGTTTCTATGTAAGAGGAAATGAATGTGTGTTCATTCATGTAAGCTTGTTCTCTAGAGTAAAGCATGCATTTAAAGGAGAGCTCTTTGTAACTAATAAAGTCTGAGGTATGATCTTGGTTACAGAAATTGAGTGATAAATACATTGTTTGTTTGTTTGCTTTAAAGAGAGAATATTAAGGCTCTGGGTTTTAATTTACACACCAGGATTTAAAAAAAGACAGGTTTAGTTAGCAGATGTGCCTGTAACCACATAGCTCAGATGGCAGAAGGTCCTGATAGCAGTGCTTGCCATAGCCAACAGATAACGCACACTCCATCTCCTTGCAGTGACAGCACTGATTGTGCCTGCCAGACTATTCTATTCTGCAGGGGGTGGAGGGGGAGGGCAAATCTGATTAAAGGAAGAAAATTGAATTTGAAGAAGGCTTGGTGTCTTGTTTTTGCAGTACTGAATGCAGGCTTAATCCTGATTGCATGCTGTGGATATGCAGTATATAAATGAAAGTGTTGCTCTTTGTTTCTGCGAGTGATCACTCGACTCAGGAGCACTGTGAGCAGTATGAGCTTGCCCAGGGAGTCCACAGCACTATGCTTCAGGCACACAGATACATGCTGATTATTTACATCTGTCGGTCTTCATAAAATTATGAGGATGTGAGCAATAAATCTAGCATTTTTCTTGATATTATTTTTTTTCTCTTTGTAGGTGTTAGATAGAATCTGTCAGTGAAAGACATCTTGCCCTTAATTCTTGCGACATGAGGAATTTGACTGGAAGGATGAGAAGAGGAAGGGAAAAAAAGACAAAAGGCAGTGCCAGAACTAATGGCAGGACTTTAAATTGTCTTTTCCTTAAAAACAGCATTTAAAGATGGATCAGCATTATGGTTTTCTGTTAATAAGAGCATCACAGGAACATATACCACTGCCAGGCTGTTGGCAACGTGGTCTGTTCCAACAGGAGAAGTGTGATTCTGAGGCAGCAGAGGCTGGCAGTGAGCCTCATGGGGAAGTGGGAGCAAGGCAGGAAGCTGGTGCCTGCATTAGCAAGGATTGGAGGGGCGAGGACAGCCACCAGGGTGGGGCAGGGAAGGCAGCCCAGGGGATGCCCTGCTTCAATGATGGGAATGGAGTACATGGTCTTGACAGAGACCCCTCCTGTCCTCAGCAACTCTGCGATCTGCATGGAGCAGCCTGCAGACAAGTGAGAGGGCATGAGCAAGCTGCTTGCAGCTCAGCTCCTGCCCTGCTCTTGTGTTCCCCAGCTGTGCTGTGGGGTCAGGCTGTGGGGTTGGGCTCAGTTTGCTGGCTGTGCTGAGCTTCCTTCTCCCATTCCCAGCTGGGCCCAGCAGAGAAGTGGTGCTGCAGTGAGCAGCGCTGCCCATAGGAGCATCTTCAGTTGCTCTCCTCTACCATAACTCTTCATCCAAGTGTTTTTCTTTCTCCTTTTTCCTTCTGAAAACATTCAGTATCCCCTGGATATTGACATTTTTGTGTAGGCAAAAAGGAACATGGTGATATTTGACAGGAAGGAGGCTGCTAGTCCCTGTTCTGATTTCAGCTTCATTAGTGTAAGTCTGGACTTCACAAGGAGGTTTTCAGCTGATATCTAGCTTTTACCATTTTGCTGGTTCTACTTGAGGAAAAATGCAGAAGATGCAAGAAGATTGCAGTAGGATACTTAATTTAAATTGGTGTTTTAACCTGGTATTTACTCTTTGAAACTCAAGGATTAGCTAATACTGAGTTGGAATTGTTCTCTCCACCTGATCAGGCTTTAATGAGGTAAAGTCCATAGGACCGGAGGCCATAGCCCCACTGCTTCATTCTGTCATTGAATGTTTTGCCTTCAGCGGATATCCTTGCAGATAGGATTTCCTTGATGCAACTATAGAAATAGTTGCAGGTGTATAGAAATGCCCTGGCTTCCAGTGTATGCTTTGTTTGAATCCAAACCAAAGACCCTAAGGCAAAAATAGCTTACCTCCAGAGAGATGGCCATGCCAGACCCACACAGGAGGCCACTACTCAGTTGCTTGTTAGAATTCTCTCCTGTTGGATCTGTCCTGCAGACTGTGCTCACTAGCTTCATGTGCTGGGTCTTATTGTGCAAGTTGTTCATGTGTTGATGTCCTACTGCTAGGTTTATCTTACAATGCTGGAGTAGTTTCCTGAGTAAGCAAGCGAAGAATTACTGAGGAAAACCCCCCATTTTCTAACCTTTTTTTCCCCTTGCAATGTGTTGTGTAAAACCGGAGACTATTGTAAAGCATAAATTAAGAAAAGTGATGTTTGTGTTAGTTTTAATTATTTGGTCTTGTTAGTATCTCCCATACTTTAATGCTTTGCAGATAGCTTTGAAAACTCCAGAAATCATCACTGCTATGTTACCAGAGTTTGTTTAGAATACTTAGCCTTTCAGGAGCTTCTGAAATGTGGATTATTTTGTATTTTCCTTTGTTTTTAATTCTTACATGATCCCTCTTTTCAGATTTCAAATTATAATCTATTTCCTGATGCATTGCTGACGCCCCCGTGAGCCATGTCAGAAGTACTTCCAGGTCAGATCCCCTTTAAAAGATTCTGCTTTGCAAATATATAAAACTTTCTCATTTTTCTTCTTCTTCCCAGGCCCATCTTTTGCTTTCATTCTGCATTTACAAATGAAAAAGAGCAAAACCTTTCATTTATTTTTGACAGCACCTTTTTGAATAAACTCTCAGTTTGGCTTTTTAAAATAATTGCTATACAAAAAAGCCTCATTTTAGTTAAAGGCAAATCAGTTTTTTTCTGTTCATAATGGCATTTTCTGTCTCTTTCTTCAAGCTCTGTAAGTCTCATTACGTGACTGAGAAACAAAATAAATAAAAGTCATTCAAGTAATAGTGTTATTTATATTATTGTTATGCTTAATGAATTGGGACTTCTTCCTGTTAAGCACATGATACTGGTGAAAGTTTATAGTTATGCTTCCATACATTAAAAGTATATTTCTGGGACTGATATCTTATGCATAGCAAGCCAGAATAATCAATGAATTGCTATGGTAGATCCTCAACCTACCAAAATGCTGTCTTAAAGCACTTTAATGTTGATAATATTTTTTCTGTTCTTCGTTCTGTACCAGAGTCCAGTCTTTATTTTCTTGAGATGCCCTGTTTTCCTTGTTTATAACTTACTACTGTAAATGTGCTCTTGCTGCAGTATGTATCGATGCAGTCATGCTTGATCTGCTTGCCCATTTTTGCTTGTGTTTTAGCTTAAAGAAAGTTGATTACTGAGGCTCTGATGGGAGCTGTTGCTCAAATTGTCTGGGGTGCAATTTGTACATCTGTAAAATAGAGTGCAATAAAACCAGGTTGGGGCAATTGGAAGCACCCACTAGTCTGGCAGGGAAATGGTGTGCCCATCCTTTGCTTTGCTCCTTCCTTATCATCAGAGTTGAGCCATAATCTCATTGCAGTGGGAGCACTGACCTCCTGAATGCTGGCATGGCTGAGATGGTCAGGAGTGAGTGAAGGCAGTGCAGGCCTTCCCAAGTGCTCCTTCTGAGAAGTTTGTTTCCACACCCAGAAATCTTGGCTGAAAAGCCAATGTTGTCTGACTGACGGGAAAATTGTAATGCACATATTGGACCTTTTGGATGCTCTGTTACTGATGAAGATGTAAAGAACTCTCTGCAGGAATAAACTACTAACAACCACCGTAAACGTAGGAACAGAAACACATTTCAGAAGTGAGCAGAAAAGTAAAATCTGTTTATGGTGCCAGATGCTCCGGCAGATGTAACAGTCCAGGATTGAGCCCTGCTCCTCTCCTAACCCCAATCAAAGTCAGTGATGGTGGAGGGGCAGATCTCAGGCAGGGATGAATGGGTTTTGCACGAACACAACTCCAAGATGTCACAGAAAGCCCTAGGTGGGTGCTGCTGCTTGTTTCTGTTGTCTGCCTCATGTGACTCATGGGCAGAAGTACAGGAGGAAGTTGCATTTCCTTGAAACTTTTAAATATAAAGCTGAGATAGACGTCTTCTGTGAAAAGTGAGGCAAGCTAGCTTTCTTTTTCCTTGTGCTGTTCTGTTCTGCAAGTTAGAATTTCTTTGATTAAGCTTTCCCTTGCATTTCAATATTTTCCAACGCTTTACTTACTCCTGGTCTGGTAGCACTTTCTGCCCTTGAGACCTAAGTCCTGACTTTGTATTTCATCTCTTTTCTTCTCTGTTGTAGTTTCCTTTCTTCCCACCTTCATTTCTCATTGAGAGAGGTTGGTGCCAGCTGTGCCTCTTGTGAAGCCTGGTCTGGTGTGCAGTGACAGGAGGGGGTGGGATGTTCCTCTCTACATACACCTCCTGCTGCTGCTGGTCTGCACAGGCTTGGGAGGCAAGCTGGTGTCCAGCAAAAGGTTCATGTGCACATTTTTCTGCTTATGATCAGAAAGCAGCCCGATTTAGTGCCCCGTTTATAAACACTGCTTGGTAACAAAAGACATCAGATGGAGACTGGAGGCTTTGCTCCAGTCCTTGAGCCACGTGCCAGTGTTTGTCATAAGCCAGCAGGGGAGCTTCATCAATCAGATAAGCAGAAGATAGTACATGCTGCTTCAGTGTCTCAGTGAGCTTATACTTAGGGTATATTTTGATATGTGAAATGCTAGCTGCAGGAGGCCAACGAAAGATAATCTGACAGGGAGATACTTAAACTTTATCTAGGAAGATTATTTTTTAAGTAACTTGTTCAGTGGTGGAAAATAGTGGCAAACATTTTATACAACAAATCGCTTGTAGCAGAGGATGAGAATAAATGTTTCAGATTGAGGCTGTTTTATTTACTGATGGAAAAAACACCTCTGGAATGCAAAATAAAACATAATCTAGCACAAATAGGTACTGTGCAATTCCGTGAGTGCAGCAGATCAAAATTATTCTGCCTTAAAAATTTGTTCTTATATATTATTTCCAGAATGTCAGATTTTAACTGATTTAGGACAAGAATATAAAACAGTCAGTCTGCAAACATAGTCTTCTCCATGCTTTTAGATTAAAACATGTCCTCTGATAAAACTACGCTGGATCAGGCGCGAACTTTCTATTTGCACTAGTCTACATTGTTTTAAGGTGAGATGCAGGAAGCGACGTGTACTGATGTATTTGAGATGTGCACTTAGAGAATTTCTTTCAGCTTTATGATGGCTGTGTTTTAGATGTCCTTTGTGGCTAGGACTGAAATTGACAATAGGATGTTTAACCATTGTTTAACCATTACCTAAACACAGGCTGTTGCAGTGTGCATGGGCAGTTCTGAAGCTTTTGCAGTTGAATACAGAGCAGGCAATATGGGTAACCGTGTACTCGTTTGTTAACATTGTGAAGTGCTCCTTTTTGCTCTGTGTGTTTATGCTGATATGCTTTTAAAACCTGAATGTTTAATCTCTCGCAAATCTATACAGCAGTCTATTCTGTCTTGTCAGATGTACAAGGATGCAGCACAGCTCAGCTGGAATGATCTGTCATCAGCTAGCTCGAGTGATAATTTTTCATTCCTAAATAAGCCTCAGACATATTTTTGTGTGCACTATAAGCAGTTGGTGATACTTGAGAATTAGGAGCGACAGAAAGGGTGCTTCATGCTGCAGCAGATGGGAGTGATTTATTAATTGGTGTCTTACTTGGTTGGCAGGTGTCAAAAACAGTCACTACTACTGTGTGTGTAAGGTGAGGTGCTCATGGAGTATTTGTACGAATTAGTGGGAGCCACAAATAGGCAGTAAAGTAACAAATGATGGTTTAAACCAAAAAGAAAAGTATTTCTTCATAGTCTAAAACAGTCTAAAAATCTATTCCCTGAAGAAACTTCATATTTTTTGAAATGTGAACTGTACCTCAGCTGATCAAAATCAGAAACTTGACTATAAGTAGGCAAAAAATGGTTTCTATTTAACACTGAAATACATGTACTGCCTCTTAGGATGCACGTTGTATACTTAAGTTTGAAGCTTGCAAGCTGTAGAAATAGTGAGCCAACTTCATCTCTGAAGTGGACCTTTTTTTTCTTTTCCTTCTTTAAGCTGATTGAACTAGAGCAGGGTATTTTATGGAGGGATCCAAAGCACTCTACCCCACCCTGGACTCAACTACAGTTTTGTGTAATACAGTGCTGTGTCAAACAAGGGGCACCAGTTGTTTCCTCATCTTTCTATCTTCCTTGTCACTCTTCTGCCGTGGAAGCAGAGAATCATTAAGGTTGGAGAAGACCTTTAAGATCATTCAATCCAACCATCAACCCATCACCACCAGGCCCTCAAATACATAAAATAATTACAGGGTTACCGAGGAATCGCTGTATTATGAGTAGCCCTTCCTGTTGTAAGGGACCCAATAAACACCCTCACTAAGAGCCTGCAATGCTCAGAACTTTCATTACCCTTTCCCATTAAGGGGAAGCAAAAAAAAAAAGGTAAAATTTCAGGTGTGAGGAGGCAGGGGCTGAGTGGGCAATCATACTGACAGAAACTGAAGAAGGAGCAACATCTGTGCACAATCTATTGAGAAATGTCTCTGATTTACTGCTTCCTAGTAATGGGCACCAGAGAAGTTGTTCCCCTCTTGCACCCCCGAGGTAGTGGTGAAGTCCTGGAATGAGATGAGAGCAGGGGACAGCTCCTGGCCTTGATGCATTTGCTGAGGGCTGTTCTCCTTGTCCCCAGCCTGCTGGGCATGAAGGAGCTCAGACATGAAGAAACACCTCACTGATACAGGGTCAAGTCTTCTGCTTGTCTTCTCAGCTCCATGGTGATGATCTCATTGTATTTCTCTGTCTGTTTTTCTCTATTTATTAAGCTAAGCTGTTTTTTTGTTCTCTTACCCATGTAGATTACAGTGATTCTAGCAGAAGCCAAAATACTACATAACACAAGTGTTTCATTGCTGCCTCTCTTGCTTTCCTAGTCGATTCCGGTGTGGACGCGCTGGCGGTGTTTATGGCAAGCAGCAGCACGACGGACGTGGTGAATCGCAACGGCCCTGCCACGCCGCCCAACACCCTCAGCCTGCGCTCCTCTCACAACGAGCTGCTGAACGCTGAGATCCGGCACACCGAGAGCAAGAACAGCACTCCTCCGAAATGCAGGAAGAAGTACGCGCTGACTAACATCCAGACAGCCATGGGCCTCTCAGACCCGGCAGCGCAGCCCCTCCTGGGGAGCAGCTCTGCCAATATGAAGCTGGTGAAGAACGGAGAAAACCAGCTGAGGAAAGCTGCCGAGCAAGGCCAGCAGGATCCCAACAAGAACCTCAGCACCACAGCCGGCGTCAGTGTGACTTCTGAGAAGTTTGAAGGCAAAGAGCCGATCCCACAGGACTCCTCCAGCTGTGAAATATTGCCCTCACAGCCCAGGAGGACCAAGAGTTTCCTGAATTACTATGCAGACCTGGAAACATCTACCAGAGAGCTGGAGCAGAGCTTTGCTGCAATGGAAGATAAATCTGCACAAAACAATAGCCAGGCTTCCACCATTATTGTCAATGGGGAAGTCTTGCCCCGGAAGCAAAACAAGCAATCAAGCCCAGAGGATGGCCAAACTGCCACAGTGTCCTCGAGTCCTGAGACTAAGAAGGACCATCCCAAAACGGGGGCCAAAACAGACTGTGCACTGCACAGGATTCAGAACCTGGCTCCAAGTGATGAGGACTCCAGCTGGACTACACTGTCCCAGGACAGCGCTTCGCCGAGCTCTCCTGATGAAACAGGTAGGCAGCAGCAACTGCTTAGTTTTCGGAACATGGGGCTGAGCCTTCCCAGCTGGCAAAAGGGAGTAGGGCAGTTCTGCTGTGTTTTTACAGGGGTGTGAATTGCATCCAAACGTGGATGCTGCTTGGCCAGCACACAGGTCCCTTCCTGTTTGGTCCTAGTGCCTTACACTTTGGTTTGGAAAAGGCACCATCAAATGCTTTAGATAGGATCCTAAAAGCTGTGAGACCCGAAGTTTCACTGTAACTCCAAACTGCTTCAACAATGTCAGTAATATGCAAACTTCACAACTGCCATCTTATTAATAATCACCTCAGTGCTCAGTGAGTCTGTGTTCTAAGGTGTACACAATTGCTTGGAGATGTTCAACTATTGCTGTTTGCCTATGGATAGCAAGGAAAAGCTTTTCTGAGTATGAAGTGTTGCTTTTGAGCAAATATTTTCAGGTTTGTTAGAGATTTTAGTTTTCTTATTAAAATCTTTTTGAGCCCTCAGTCATTTGATTATATGCTTTTATTTAAAAGGGAAAGAAACTTAATGTGGGTCATTTAATTAATGCGTTTCATTGTTGGTTTGTTTTTGTTTTTTTTTTTTTGCAAAGCAGTTTCATGCATTAATTCAGAAGTTGAAATCGTGGCATATTTTGAAAGACTGGGCCCATTTACAACGTGTCTTAATTATTTTTAAAACTGCAGAGCTCTCATTTACCCTAGTTAATAGGCTTCATCATTTAGCGTTTTTTTAATATCCAAGCCAATCTTTAACGATACAACTTTGTCAAAATGAGGGGAGGCAGTGTAATTCTTGAGGGTGATGTGGAGCTACACAAATTTATCTTAAGTTGTTTGTATTTAAAGCGATTTCATTATTACTGTAGATAAGTTTTGTGCTGTTTGGAGGCTATAGTGCTCCAAATTCACAGCTTCCTTATCTGTCTGTAGCATTTGTGACAGTGTACTTTGGATGTGATTGTAGCAACAGTGAGTTTGGGTTTTAGTGTGAGAGTTCAGTCACAGCAGAAGGTCCCTACTGCTGTGTGGCAAATAATGGATCTTTCGATCTTTTTTGATGTGTGACAAACCTTTGCAACTGTAGAATTTTTTGTATAGTCATCTCTTCCTGTGAAAACTGAACGTGTTTTCCATTTACTGAGATTGCTGTTTGTGGTAGTATTATTTCTCAAGATATATGATATGTATGCCATCACTGATTAACATTTTCTGGAGAAAACATCAGTGTGTTTTAGATAACAGTGCCGAGTTTGTTAGCTCTGGCTAACAAACTTGCCCAAGGCTTGACAACGGAAAAATGTGGATAGAGAATTTATGTTCAGTGAAAATTAAATTAGCATAATTCCAAGTAACTTAATTAAATAAGGGTCACTCAGGATGAGCTACTACAAATTTTGTCTCTTTTACTCCTAATTAACGTGCTTAATTTCTTCCTTCCAAGCTGTATGTTACCATTGTGTGACATCTGAGCTCTTTCGGCACTCGGAAAAGAGAATTTTCTGAGCTCTTTAAGATCTTTCAGTTGTGCTTGGGCTTCATAGGACGGGCACCACTGGGCTCCTCGCTGCCACTGCACCTGGGCAGAAGGAAAGCATCGTGTATGGTCTTCAGTCCTTGTGCTTCTGCAGTAAATGCCAGCAGCCAAAGGGAGAAAGGCATCCAGGAGAAAAATCTGCAAAAGCAGACAGCTTTAGTTTATATGGCTTCTGGGAAGGAAAAAAAGATAGAGTTTCAAGAACAGTTAATCTGTTTAAATAGTGCAATGCAGCAGATGCGTGGAGAATTATTAATGTTCAGTCCAGAGACTGTATTTAGCACTTTAGCATACATAGGAATGTGATGGAAATACCATTTACCTCACAGTACATGGTTGAAAATTGCAATAGTCTGCTTTCATGTATTTTAAATTGCTTCATCTTCCTCCTCCCTCTATGAACAACTCACTGTTCAAATCTTGGATAACTGAGTGATTGAGGGTTTGCTTGCTTTGTTTCTGGAAGTATGTTACTCAAAGACACTGAAGAATTAGTTCTTATTTTTTGTGTGCACTAGGAACACATCATTACTGTTCAGACAAAATCCAAGGCAGGAAACTTCTTTGTGATCTAATGGAAAGGTGCTTTTGAAAGATTTGACGCTTCTTCTGAGTGGGGAGGAAAAAATGAGACAACCAATTCAACTTTCCCACTCAAGGGGGAAGGCCCTTGGTAGATGGATTTGTATCTCGAAATGAGAATATGAATCAAAGAGAGGAGTCAAAAGGGCAATCCTCCTCCTTTCGGGCAGCTGCTGAATGTGACTGCTATTGAGCACATGCTTGCCTGCTGCTGCTCTCTCAACAAATCCAGGATGTCAGTTTAATGGCTGGTTACAAATAAACAAGTTCAGCTCAGCACAAAAATGGCAGCAGTGAGACTGCCCCTTGGGGAGGGAGAGTTGGGATCTTGCAAATGGAGCCTGCTATTCTGAAACAGTAGTGTGTGTGGGTAGAACAGCCCTCTAATACAATAAAAATTGCAGCAAATCAGGAACTAGTCAGAAAGATTTATACCAAGGATGAGTTCTGCCCCTGATTTTAACCTGCATCTTGGACAAAATTAAAATGAATGCCCTTTAAAAGCTTCAGTTTTCCTTTGCGGAACGTATCTGATAGAGACAACAAGGATGTTATTTAGTACAGAACATGTTTTCTGTGTTCCTGAGTGTAGAAAATGATTTATGGTAATAGAAATACAGTCAATTATAGTGTAGATAAGCACAAGTCCTGTAATACAGGGGACAAAATATATTATCATTTGAACAATTGTAGGATTCCAAGTAAACATCTGACTTTAAGGAATAAGAGGTTTTGGTTCATACCCACTGTGCATCCTAATAGCCCACAAATTTAATAGCAGGTAGTCCTTGTTCTCTTGTTGTTTTTTTTTTTTTAATCCTGCATGTTGCTGATAGCTGTGTATCAAGAACACAGGTTTTATAGTCACAGACCTTGACCATTTGCTGACTGCTTGCAAAATAGTAAAGGTGACTATTGCTGCATATCAGTATTTGTACAGGTACCATTCTATATAGGGAGTAACCAGTTACATGTTTATATTCCTCTTAGCTGTTCCTGTGAGAGGATTTTGCGGAAGAAAAGGCAAGTCAGTTTAAGAGGAAAAAAATACCTAAAGGGCCATGTGGTTATTTATACGGTGTTCAAAATAATGACCAGCATCCAGGGTCTACTGGTAGAGGGGAAACTGAACTTGAGAGGTAATCTCCTGGATACAGGCTGCTGCTGTTGGTGGCACAGAAGCCACTTGCTTTTCTTGGATGTTGAGGTCAGCCTTCCCTTGGAGTACTGTGTCCATGTCTGGAGCCCCCAGTAAGAAAGACAGAGAGCTGTTGGAAAGCCACAAAGATGATCAGGGGATTGGAGCACCTTCCCTATAAAGACAGGCTGAGGGAGCTGGGCTTGTTCAGCCTGGAGGAAAGAAGGCTGTGTGGTGACCTCATTGCAGCCTTTCAGTACCTAAAGCGAGCCCACAAACAGGAGGGGAATCAGCTCTTTGAAAGGGTAGATAACAGCAGGACAAGGGGAAGTGGTTTCAAGTTGAGGGAGGGAAGATTAGGTTGGATGTCAAGGGGAAGCTCTTTATAGAGAGAGTGGTGAGGTGCTGGAACAGGCTGCCCAGAGAGGTTGTGGATGCCCCGTCCCTGGAGGTGTTCAAGGCCAGGTTGGATGGGGCCCTGGGCAGCCTGGTCTGGTATTAAATGTGGAGGTTGGCCCTGCATGTGGCAGGGGGTTGGAGATTCATGATCTTTGTGGTCACTTCCAACCCTGGACATTCTGTGATTCCCTTCTTAATGCAGTAGTTGAATCCTTGGCTTCAGTGCTCAAGTAAGTGCTCTGGCTTGAAACCCAAAGTTTCTGTGATGAAAACGGGTGATGAGCACCCTTTTGAATTTGAATAGCTAATAAAAATAGATGTATAAATTGAATTAATGTTATGGCATGAACTGTTGCTTGTATAGCTAGAGCATGTGGTGAGACAACACAGGAAAGGGATTGCTGGAATTGCATTGCCACTGGAGTGAAAGCTGTGGAGTAGTTTGCAAGATTTTCAGGGCACTAAAAGTAGCATAGTGTCTCTGTAGTGCAGTTTACATTGTTTTGTAATGTTGAGGAGTAGTCTAACATGCTTTTCAAGCAGGGCTTATTGTATCTTTCAACAATGCAGAAGACTGTTCTAAGTGTCTATAGGGAAAACTTGAGATTTAGAAAAGGTGAACTGCTTAATGTCTCATGCTTTACTTGATAAACTATTTTCAGAAGCTTTTCAAGCTTCTGTTGTTTCAGAAATGCAGAAGTGTAATCCCAGACCCTGTGTGTCCTCTTACAGTATGAATGCATCTTCTTGCTGAAGTTCTTCTGTGCCTAGGGCTGTGTTTCTTTTCCAGGTCTCCTCTGAGACCATGCAAAGAGTTGGGTTTCAGGCAGACACATGACCAAGCAAAAAGAAAAAGGAAAACAAACTAAGGAAGGGAAATCAGAGAAGCTAATGGGAAAAGTCAGGATCCTAATAGCCCTTTCAGAGGGATGTTAAGGAAGATACGCAGAAGAAAATCCGCCAGTAACTAATAGCAGACTAGCAGTTCCTCCTTAGGGGGGAAAAAAAGTTTTCAATTCATGAAGTTGTGAAAGTGATCACAAATTATGACCAAAATTGATCCAGCAAATCTCTGTCTCAGCACTTTTTAATGGTGCATAGAACTCGAGCCAAGTTTCAATCCACCTGATTGATGCTTTAGAAATGAGTGTAAAAATCTATACGGGAGGAAAGGAAAGCCTGTTGTTACCTTTGGAAGGACTCTCAGCTTGTGGACTGCTGTTCCTTAGGGCAAGCTGAACGTTTGAGAGTCGCTGGCAGCAGAAACAGGTGGGCTGCTTGGGTTTTGCGTGCTCACCAGATGCACCAGATCTGGCTAGGTGCTTGTTTGTCTCT